AAGAGCTGTCAGACCTACAGCTTTAGAGATACAGAAAAATGTTTTAGACATAAAAGGTGTGGAATCAAAAGGGCTACAAAACAAACCGGAATATATGTGATAGTCCCTACCGCCTTCTATCTACATACCAAATTTGAGATCGATACCTCGTTTTTTGGCCAAGTTATAGCGAAAAAACTGTTCAAAATTGATGACGTCAAATTTTCAAACTCAATTTTTAGCAATTCTAGACCTCGTAGCGCAAAACAAAGACCACCATTAGACTCCCCGTGACGAGCTGCATCGAATCGATACCCATTTTGTGCAAAAATATCAACTTTGAAATTTGACCTTTTTTGACCTGACCTTGACCTGACCTCCACCAGAAAGTGACCTAAACCCTACCTGATGCTCTTATAACCAACACCATTGAGTTGGAAATGAAAAACTGGCCATAAAACATGCATCACATAACCTTAGTAAAGTTGGGCTCATGTGGTGACCCTTGGTGACCTTTGGTGACTTGACCTGTGACCTGACCTGGTATGACCAGTGACCTCTAATAGCAACATATGTACTAGACAACTGACGCCTTATCGCTGATTTTCGACAAAATGCGTTTTACTCTGTGTTATAGCGCTTTCCCTAGAAGCCCTGTGAACGGTGAAACATTTTATCTTTGACCTGACCTGTGACGTCATCGGTGACCCCGAGGTCAATGAAATTTGGTTTCCCTCGACAAATTTGACAGGGCTATCGAACGCCGTTTGAATTTTTCGGATCCGTCCAGTAGTTTCGGAGATACGGGGGGGGCAAAAAAGTGCCCCCCCCCCCACCGCGTGGAAGGTGGCTGGTAGGCCCACCGCCTGCCGGGTTATGGAGAACCGGATTTTTAGAACTTATCCATACCTTCAAAACTCATGGAAACGTCTTAAATTCTTCAAATTTTGAGTACCCCAGTGCGAAATTCGCCCCGACGGGTTGTCGGTCGTACCCCAACCACATTTCACACCACTATGAACAATAAATGCACACACTGAAATCGCTATTACCGATATGCTCATCCAATCAAGTTTCGATAAATCCGTTCATCATCAGCTCCTGCGGTTTCGAACACGCCTGTTAGGTGGTGCGGTATACCACGCCCAAAGCCAGGGCCCCGGTAACGTGAGGTAGCCGAGTCAGGGCAGCGTGCGCTGACCCAAGCCGGAGCCGCGCGTCCTCCCGGTGTCATGTGATAGCCCGGGGCTGCCCGCGGGGATGCGGTAGACCGCGCCCAAAGCTGCGGCCCCGGCTTGGGTCAGCGCACGCTGCCCCGACTCGGCTACCTCACGTTACCGGGGCCCTGGCTTTGGGCGCGGCTTCTGCTCATACTTTAGACGCGTTTACATAGGGTTTGTTGCAAGCGTATATCTTTGTCCGTGATGTTGCAAAAGATGCCAATGGTGCTTAACAATTTACAAAATGATCCCCTCTAAATATTTGAAGACCACTGCAACGAAATTATCGCCAAATTAACGAGCTAGAGCCTCGTCAAATATGCTATGTAAACCGGGTTTTTGTGGTGCGGTGGTGGTGCGTCGGGCTGCGCGCTCTGACTTCGGCCAAGAAAAATGCGTCAGCTGATCATTGTCATTTCTGCCACTTGCGTATGGTGAAATGGGGTCATAACTTATAAGACGGCTTTTTCATATCAATTATTTTACATAAAATCATATTTCAAACCATAAATAATGTTCGACAGCCAAATAAAAGAAACAATACCAATACGGGCTTACAGTTTAAGGCTCGACATTGGGTTGTCTACGATTAGACAGCTGATAACTCATTCCCGTACGTCGTATGGTCGTAACACTATAATGACCTTTGCTTATTGTCACAAGTGCGCCGCATTCGCGATTGTTGCCCGACGCCTGTTTGCAGGTGAGCCCACTACAGTTGTTATACATATCTAAAAACCGATAAACTTTTAGGCGAAAAAGGCACTATTCCAGGCCCATTTTTGATTTTTTTTGCGATATTAGGTAAAAACAGAAGCTTCTTATCCTAGGAAAAATAAAATGGGAAATCTTTCAAAGGTGGCACACTACCTTTAAGTCCGGCTCCCTACGACCAGGTCCGGCTGAACCTCATAGCTGCTCTGGCTTACTGTGGCTGAAGTACGGTGGAGGTACGGCACGGCCGATCGGTTCAAGTCCGGCTGTGGTGCGGGCGAGCTCCGGGATCCTGTGTCAACTCCAGTAGAGCCCCAGACCTTGCCCGTAGGTATTTTAGCCGGAGCAAATGCCGGAGCTAGCCAGAGTAAGACCAGCTACGGCCAGGACCAAATTTGCTGGCTGGGAATAGGCCGGTTAAGACCCCCCATAGTCCGACATGTGGCCCTCCGAAGCCGGTAAGGGGCCCTCAGAGGCCGCCAAGTGGCCCTCAGAGACTGGATTGGGGCCCTTGTGGAGATCTTAGTGTTGGTACTTGTGGGCCCATGAGGGGTTTTTACGAGCCCCGTGGATCCCTTCTATGTCCAAATATGGCCAGCATTGACCCTTAGCGGCCAATTGGCGCCTCAGGGCCCCTCAGGCCCGAATAACCCGAGGGGACCCTGAGGCCCGAACCTGATGGGGAGGGGGGCACGTGCCTCACGGCCCACCTGGCTACGCCACTGGGGAAAATCGTAAACCCGTAAATATCCAAATGCGATCACCTGTCATTTTTCATCGATATTGGGATCGTCTGATTACCGCCAGAGCCTCGTAGCTACCGTTGCCTCCGCGCAATGTCCGCCCCTGCGGACCGCAGCGGCTGCTGCACCGGTGCTAATCACCGTCATTGGTTTCTGTCACCTTATTACAGCGGTGTCGGGGCTGTTGCCATGCTGCCGGCAAATATATTTTTTTTCCGGAAAGATGTTTATGTAATCAGGTAGCCAAGTACTAGGACGAGCAGAATGATTTTCAAGAAGAACGTTCTGCCCTTGGGAACTGTTAGTATATAGAAATCCCGGCATTATCAGTACCTTATGGGGATAACCAACCCCGCCTTGTACGGTTGTGCCGCATGGCAAAGCTGCAATCTGTCACCCGGTGCAGGGGTTGAGCACCCCCAACCATTTTGAAAAATCGACACCCCTGCCTCATTGTGATGGAGCCGCCCTCAAGCAGATGATGCCGCCCCTGAATGTGATGGTGCTGCCCGCCAACGAGTTGGTGGCGCCCCTCAAAATGATGCTGCCGCCCCTTAAAGTGTTAGTGCCGCCCCTTATAGTGCCAGTGACGCCCTTCGAAGTGTCAGAGGAACTCACCAATATAATGGTGCCGCCCCTCTAGGTATCCATAGCCCCTCATTGTGATGGAGCTGCCCCTCAAGCAGATAATGCCGCCCCTCAAGAAGATGATGCCGCCCCTTTCAGTATCGGTGGCGCCCCTCAATGTGATGGTGCCTCCCTCAAAGTGCCAGTGGCGCCCCTAAATGTGATGGTGTCTCCTGTCAACGAGTCGGTGGCACCCCTCAAAATGATGCTGCCGCCCCTAAAAGTGCTGGTGCCGCCCCTTACAGTGTCAGTGGCGCCCTTCAAAGTTTTGGAGGAACTCATCAATACAATGTTGCCGCCCTCTAACTTTCTGCAGCGCCCCTCCATATACATAATGGTGCCGCTTCTCAAACCATCCGTGGCGCCCCTCAAAGTGATGGTGCCGCCCCTTACAGTGTCGGTGGTGTCTCCTCAAAAGTCAAGGTGCCGCCTCTCAAAGAAATGCTGGTGTCCCTCGAAGTGTCGGAGGCGCTCCTCAATGTCATGTTGCCGCCCCTCAAACCTTCCGTAACGCCCCTCCACGTCATGGTGCCGCCCCCCCCCCCCCAATGTGCTCACGGCGCCCATATGTGATAGTAACGCCGGTCAAAGTGCTCCTGGCAGTGTCGGTGGCGCCCCTTATAGTGTCGGTGGCGCCCCGAACAGTATCGGTGGTGGCCCTCAAAGTGATGATGTCACCCTCAAACAAACGGTGGCGCCCTTCGAAGTATCGGAGTCCCTAAATATCATACCTATTGCCGCCCATTAACGATCTGTAGCACCCGTCCATATGATGGAGCCGCCCCTTAAAGTATCCATGGCGGTCCTTAAAGTTACAGTGCCGCCCCTTACAATGTGGGTGGCGTCCTCAAAATAAAAGTGATGTTGCCCCCCCCCCCGAGTAATGTTGGCGTCTCTTTCTTCTTTTTAAGTATCGGAGGCGCTCCTCATTGTCATTTTGCCCCACATCACTGCTCACATGGCGCCCTTCAATGTAATGGTGCCACCCCGCAACACTGTAAAAAATCATAACACGTTTCGTGTTATATGGACAAAAACGACTCGGTATAACCGTGTGATGTTACACGTTTAGTGGTGTTATCTCACACGGCAAGGCCGTGTTAGGTAACACTAGAACGAGTTTTAAGTCTATCGTTTGTAGTGTTCCGCTACTCGCTAAAAACGTGCTACGAGTTTGATAACTCGTTATTAACTTTCTAGTGTATCGAAAGGCGTGCTACAATACTCGCATTAAACATGTAAGGTGTTAATTTACTACACTCGTGTTACTGTGCTCTGCTTAATACATGCTGCGGAATGCTAATGGTGTTAACAAATCGGAGTATAAGATGTTATTGAGCACGCCAAAAACGTGTAACGTGTTTCGTAGCTCGGTTCGTGTTCATATACTTCCCGTCCAGTACCTCCTTTTAGAATGTATATTAACGCAAAATAAGCTGCATTACACGATTCAATGATCATGTTGAATGAATATGTTTAAATACAACTTCATGTGGACTTATTAATGCGATGAAAGGCGTACCTTCGTGAACATGTCAACGGGCCTGTAACAGGCCCTGTTGCGTTTAAACAGAGGTCACGTCTTTAACCGCAATATAAGGTCGACATGAAGTATGCATTTATACAACTCATTCCACATATAATTATGGAACCGTGTAACACAGTTCGTTTTGCTTTAACACACATCCTCGTTAGGCAAGTCCATAAAGTCTCAAAGTGAGAATCCACTCATTATTATTTGAGCACGTCGACATCCAACTGAGCCATGCACGCAGTGTGGGGCAATGCATGAACGCAAAAATAAAACACAACTGCAGCCAACGCAACGGAGGGTAAGGCTGCGGAGCCAACCGCTTTCGCTGGCCTCTCACAGGGTGTTCGGAGGCAACCGATCTGTAATTATCCACACAAAAAAAAACTGACTACTTCTTACATAAAACGTTCACCGCTGGTGAACGACCAACACCGCTGGTGAACGAGCAACACCGCTGGTGAACGAGCAACACCGCTGGTGAACGAGCAACACCGCTGGTGAACGAGCAACACCGCTGGTGAACGAGCAACACCGCTGGTGAACGAGCAACACCGCTGGTGAACGAGCAACACCGCTGGTGAACGAGCAACACCGCTGGTGAACGAGCAACACCACTGGTGAACGAGCAACACCGCTGGTGAACGAGCAACACCGCTGGTGAACGAGCAACACCGCTAGTGAACGAGCAACACCGCTGGTGAACGAGCAACACCGCTGGCGAACGAGCAACACCGCAACACCGCTGGCGAACGAGCAACACCGCAACACCGCTGGTGAACGAGCACGTTTACTCAATGTTTCACGTATGCAGAGCAGCAGTCTGCACTTTCGCCCATGTCGATGGGCGCGCCGACGACGTATCGCTCACAATCATTCACAGTTTCAAAGCCACTAGCTTTCGCAGCCGGTCCGCGGACCTGTTTTTCAAGGCCCTACCGGCCGGCTTTCCGAACACTTCCTCAGTTATCGCGACGAGCGCGTTCTGTGCGCTCGATGTTGGGATTTTTTGGTGAAACACGGGAAACATAGCGGCCCAGAGTAGCAGCCGTGTACTGGTTGGCGTCTCCTCGGTGACTGTTGCCACCTCGGTCCCCTCGACGTACAGGACGCCGCCTTGGATGCAGGGGGACTTGCAGGAGGACTTGGCTGCCCCTTCTTCGAGGAATATGTCGGTGCTCCTCACGAGCAGGTACTCCAGTAGAGCGTCGATCTTCTCTTGGTCCGTGTCTGAGAAATAAAAGAAGAACAAATTGTGTAAGGGGCATCCAAATGTGCGCTCGAGACTATCGCCAAAAATCCCAGTCGGTTTGCGTGAACTCATTAAGCCCACTTGCATTGGAAATGGAGAGCGGTGAAGATACAATATCTTTGACAGCTCACCACCACACGAACCAAAAAAGAGACTACTGAAAACTCGAAATCGTTAAGTATTTGTTAGATGTGTGCGCTTAAAGGGACCCTCCCACCAAAGCTAATGAAATGGCATATAAGTGATGAACCGTGGTTCAGAAATAGCGAAAATGAATATCTGCCAAATTTTACCGAAAAATATTCACCGGTTTTTGAAATATCATTTTTTATCTTCGTTTCTGGTTGGGAACCTCCACTGTTCCTATAACGTTAAAAAGGTTTTCTTTACGTCCATTTGGAAGCATAATTTGGTATTTAAAAGTGCGGAAGATTTTGCGCGCAAGGCAGTATTTAGCACTCATCTGTCTTTTACCCAGGTTTTAGTAGGTATGATATTAAAAAAACAACACTTGATCTGCGCTGAGGTCACAAAGTCTAAGGGAGGCATGCAAATGCATTAGCCACTTAGAATAAAAAAATGCAGGCTTTGAAGTTAACCCGCGCCCCGCTGGGGGGGGGGCAGAATCTGCCCCCCCCCCTCCCATTTTTCGCCAATAACTTCTAAACGCGTTACGCCAGCAACGTCAAACTTTCAGTACCTTATCATACATCAATTTGACACGTTCCCTGAAAATTTGAGCGAAATCCGTCGGAAAATTTTTGAGAAATTGACGTTTTTGTGACGTCATGTTCGCCATTTTCGCCTCAAAAACGGCAAAATTTCAAACGCCGCTAACATCTTCATTTTTAAAGGAATCAAGACGTAACAAAAAAGGTTATACGTGATTTTACTTTGTCTATCAAATGGCTATCTCGGTTTTTTGAAAATTTTGGATTTTGGCCCAATTTTTTTTCAAAAAACTGACTTTTTTGGGAAAATTATGATAAAATCAAAAATTTTGAAAGTATCGAAAAAACCGGAATATATGTCAGAGAAGTAGTCTATGTGCACCTACATACCAATTTTTAGAAGAATCGGTTCAAAAATGTGGGAGTTATTCAAAATTTTATGACGTCACGACACATAAAAAATTTGAAAAATGATTTTTTTTGGAAGTTCTAGACCTCGTACGGAAACAAAAATAGCACCATTCGATTCGCCGTGAAAAACTGCATCGGATAGACACCTTTTTAGGCCTTAACAACCAACTTCAAAATTTGACCTCACTTGACCTGACCTTGACCTGACTTCGACCTGAAATTCATCCAGAGGTGGTCCATATCACTTATTGAGTGTGCCTATTGAATTCTATGAATAAAATGACCCATAAAACATGTGTCGTACATGCCCTTTTCTATATTTTGTTTTTGGTGACCTGACCTGACCTGACCTTGACCTTGACCTTTGAATGACATTGCATGCAACGAATATTGTTTTGGTAGTCTAAGAACACGTTTTGGGCAATCAGTCTCAGTCCATTCTTCGGCAACTACGGTGCAGGGCCGATACTGTAGAAACTTGCATTTTGTACCCTTGACCTGACCTTGACCTGACCTCTGACCTACTTAAGCAAAAAAATTTGGGCTCTTTAGATCCGCCTTGTTGAGAGCTTTCGATCGCCGTTTTCCCCGTCTTTCTACGACCATCGGTTCGGAAGTTAGACAGGGGGGGCAGAATCTGCCCCCCCCCCCAGCAGGGCGCGTATGGCTGAATAGCCCAGCGGGGCGCGGGTTAACTATCTCAATAATAAAGCATTTCTCGATGTTGAGAGTGCCCAAACCGGTAATTGCAGGCGAGAGACCCCCATTTGGCTATCTCAATTCAAAAATAATGACCCCGTTTCCATGGGCCTCACTGATCCGGATCAGCAAATTTAAATCGTACTATATTTCTCGAACTTTTCGTTACATGATATGCTTTCAAGTGGATTAGGCTTATATAATCAGTTAATCCCTTATTTTCATTTTCATATATTGTCTAACTATTACTAGATAAACTAATCCATTTTTACTGATCCGGATCAGTGATGCCCATGGAAACGTGGTCAATGTTACAATGGGATTGTCACTTTAAGAAATGATTTGCGTTACGTCTGGCAATGATCCAGTTCGGCTCGCAAAGGTTGGAAAAAAATAGTACGGAAAAGCAAATGACTAATAATGGCACCAGTCAAAAGTATCTTCAAATGATTTAACCATCGCCGGACCTATTGGCTTTCTACATACGCCCCGGCCGAGAGGGGGGGGGGAGGAGTACGAGACGCAACGATTGGTACCCGATTTTAAGGCCCCAGATCAACTGCTATCAGTGCTTTACAACGCACCCTACTGCCGGGAGACCGTCCCTTGACCTCTAAAAGGCCATTTTCAGTCAATGCTCCCCGACGAATGGTCAATTTTTCCTAATTTCGCAAACACTTGTCAAGTAGGCAAGTTCTCATCATATAGTCCACGGCTACCTATATCGCCCAACATCAACCCAATAGGCGATAAGCATCAGAATACAAACGAGCCACGTCATACAGACACTACATTTAACATTTAAATTCATAAATCACCAGAATTAGCACCATACCTTCACATCCTGTCAGCTGTTGGGCCGCGTCCATCAGCTTACACAGGGCTGCCTCGTACTTGGCCAGTTTGGACTCCGGGGCTTCGATGCTTCCTTCCATGCGGCTCATCTCGAGCCATATCTGAGGTAGAATAAAATTAGGTCAATTCGCAGCCAGATAGTATACCTTAGCTCGAGAGAGAGAGAGAGAGAGAGAGAGAGAGAGGGGGGGGGAGAGAGAGAGAGAGAGAGAGAGAGAGAGAGAGTGAGAGAGAGAGAGAGAGAGAGAGAGAGAGAGAGAGAGAGAGAGAGAGAGAGAGAGAGAGAGAGAGAGAGAGAGAGAGAGAGAGAGAGAGAGAGAGAGAGAGAGACGAGTAAAGAATTATAACATTTTTGGACTTGTTTACGCCGGACAATTATTTGGCGTGCTCTTCGCGATTTTTCAGCCGTGCGTTCCTACGCCCAAGTGGCTTACTCGAGGCAGACAGGGTCATAACTTGTCAGTGGATGCACAGCAAAATAAAAAAGGTACACACCACAGTCGAAATAATTAAATACATACCTCGTCAGGGACTTTCAGCGATGGGTACATATGTAGCAGCCGCTTTACGGACGTTCCGAGTTTGACGACGTGATGGCGTCTATCATTAAATGTAGCGGCCATCAGAGCAGCGTGTTGCTGCCGATCGAGGGTCCCGGACCGCAGCCGGTTGCGGTGCGCCTGCACGTCATCGGCCGGCGGCGGTGGTACGTAGGCTGCAAAATAGGAGCGCGTTTACGGCTTAAAATATTTGATGTTATACAACGCTATTGCAGCCGAGTAAAATCGATGGGATCAGCCCGGGTTCTGCTTTTGCCTCCACCACTACCCCTACCACTACCACTTAATTAAACAAACCATAGCAAACATTTCTAACTCGCGCACCGACGGGGGTCCGCGCCAACTTAGAACCGACGGGGGGGGGGATAACCAACCAACCCTGAGATCTCCAGAACGAAGCAAGATAGAGACAAGCGGTAAACGGCATGGGATACACACGGACAAGGTCAACAATTTTTACTGAGGTCATTTTCAGGTCAGGTCAAAGTCACAGGACGTCACAGGTGTCAAAAAGTCAAAATGGCGGCGCTAGAAATGAAGATTTTTTCATGAATAACTTTCGAAGTATGCCGAGCTAGGAACAAACTAATGGGAGCATCGTGATCCTCGTGTCAAGTCAATCTCCATCATATATATATATATATATATATATATATATATATATATATATATATATATATATATATATATATATATATATTTCTTTTGACCTCGAAAGGTTAAGTTCAAAGGTGTCAAAGGTTGACCTCAGGTCACGTGACCTCAGTCATCATGAAAATCATCCGATGCGCCTTGACGAGCTAAAAACAATGGAACCATCCGCGCGGCTGTGTCTGACACGGTGACAAAGTTGCAAAACAGTGATCGGAGGTCGGGTCCTTCGAAGTGACCTAGTGTCTTGACCTTGAAAGGTAGGAGATTCAAACTTGCACACAATATAGCTACGTTTTCATGACAGAATACAGAATACAGAATACAGTGTCTTGACCTTGAAAGGTAGGAGATTCAAACTTGCACACAATATAGCTACGTTTTCATGACAAGTTTGCCGATTTTACAAAGTGGATTCCTCCATCATATCATTTAGACATCATTTGAACTTATAAACATAGGATTAAGTGCTAGCTTAAGTCATAAATAGCTACGCTCATTTTTGCATACGTTGAATAGTGTCCGAGAAAAACGTACGCGAAATTTCGCTAAATCGATTTAGACGTGTCATAGAAACGCAGTGAATGTGTAAAATTGATGAGGGAAAAGTCATGCTAAATTTCGCGGCACCAAGCACCGCGGTTTTTCCGCTATTTACGAAATACCTCGGGGGGGGGGGTGTCGGCCCCCCCGTCGGTGAGCGCGTTTAATATGCGAGGCTTCCGTTTCAAATTTACCTGAGTATCCTTCGAAGTCCACTTTGCGTGCTTGCTTGTTAGGTTTTGCAGGTCCAGCCTCCGATGACACCGACCGTGGGCGTTTTTTGTTTTTGAAGCGCCATATGATCTTCCCTTTCATGTAGCTCTGTTGGGTGAGGGAAACGAACAAAGTGTCAAATACGTGGGGTGAATGAAAAGTTTTGAGCCTAACTCAGATACAGGTGACACAGGTTCATGGTCACATGATATGCCACTGTTTATGTGTGTGTACACCAAGTTTTGGTCCTAACACTTTTTGCTTCGATTTTAGAGCCCGTTAAAGCCAAGATGATTGCCCGTTCAGTGAAAATGGAGAAAATCGAAAACTCAGTCGGTAGAACGTTGGACTCTGCGTGGCGAGAGCACGCGTTCCCGGTTACAAAAGTCCGCCGGTTCAAAGCGCGACGGCCGCTCGATTTATGAGTCTCCTGACAGGTATGGTTGCGGTTGGTGGCAGGCCGTAGCTAACTGAAGTCAGTGAGGGGACCGGCCGTTCGCAGCTTTGTGCGCACGTTAACCTTTGGACTCTAAATTCTGCCATATAACCGGAATTGCGCGATCGGAAGGTAGAGGGCAGGGCCAACGCGGCAAGCTCCGCTTAGCGGGGGCTTTGTCCTTGTGAATCCCTACATTCAAAAGTTTCGAACTAAATTTATAAAAAAAAAAGTCTCAGCTCAAGTTACGAAACTGCTATCCCAGTTCAAAGCCCCATGTTAAAAGTGATATGTTTCCTGTAATACCTCTGGTGACCCGTAACTATTTAGGCTCAAAACTTTCCACTCACCCCACATCATATAAGACAAATTTGAGCAAAACACGCAATCCAGAAGCTTCAATAACTTATATGAGTTGTACCTACAAAAAAAAAAAACACATCAAGGGTACCGAGAGCTTTTCCTACCAGCGCGTTCCTAGGCGACCTTCCGTCCATGAGGCCCGGCCACTGCTGAAGGGCTAGGTCCGCGAGCTCCGCATACCTCGTTGGAGTGGGGTGAGTACTGTAGGAAGGAAACAGGGGGAGGGGAGGGGAGGGGAGGGGAGGGGAGGGGAGGGGAGGGGAAGCATGAGAGAGAGAGAGAGAGAGAGAGAGAGAGAGAGAGAGAGAGAGAGGGAGAGGGAGAGGGAGAGGGAGAGGGAGAGGGAGAGAGAGAGAGAGAGAGAGAGAGAGAGAGAGAGAGAGAGAGAGAGAGAGAGAGAGAGAGAGAGAGAGAGAGAGAGAGCGAACACATGCGTCATGCGAGCCCAGATAAAACGGCTAGGTACAGCCCTCTGCAGACTGCGTGGTAGGTATTCTTTTTTCGACAAAACCGATAATAACTCAAAGGTTATGTTATCAGTCAGTCGGAACTCACTGCAAATAGATGCGCCATGCTCCACTCCTTCGATTAGGTCTATCAATAAACAAAGTAGACGCCTTGTATGGCAACAAAATGCAAAAGTTTGTTTTGGGGGCAAATATAAACTTTTGGGTTTAGTTGCCGAACTAGATGAAAAATGGATACGGTGATGATGCCACTCTAAGGGGCGGGGTTTAGCGCGTCTTGTTGTTACGATTTCCGAATGACCGATAGCATAGTATTCGCGTTATCCTCATTTTTGTCGAAAAAAAAAGAATACCTACCACGCAGTTTGCAGAGGGCTGTACGTACAGGCTATTCGGGATAAATTTAACACTGTAGGAGATGCTTGACATTTGAGGAAGGTTGACGAATTTCTACTATTCAAACTGCGGGTTCAAGCCCACCCCAGGCAGGGTCTCAAAGCATTCAAAATTTTACATCCGGCATTACTCTTACATCTCCAGCGAGCTAAGCCCGCAGAAGATGATGGTCTTCACAGTTCACAGCGTCTCTAGAAAGGCGTGAGAATAACATCCTTAACTTTAGCGCCGATTTCGACTTTGATGTTAGAATAGGCATTGTTTGTTTTGTTTTCTCAGCTATGCCAAATAGCCTGTGGTTCATTAAATTGCAGTCTGTAGAGTACGATATAAATGTTCGGCCCAGCCATGTTAAAGTTATTTAAGAGCGTTATACGTAGACACCAGGGGGGCGCGGGTTAATGAATTGGCATAAAAGTGATGTCCCGTGGTTCAGAAAGATGAAAAATGAATATCTTTCAAATTTCACCGAAAAGTGCGGCAGATGACGCAGATGACGAATTCCGACGCAGAATAGACTCACCTGCAGCTGGCTGACGTTTGGTAGTCGTAGATGAGATCTACGACTTCGGACCACTCGGACCTCGTCAAGTTCGCCCTATCCTGGCGTAGTTTGCGAAGCAGCGCCGGTCTCAGCTCGGTGTCGTTGAAAGTGGCTGCGCTGTAAAACAAACAGGCATACCACAAACGATCACTACCGATATAATATTATCCTAATCCGTTCGGCAAGCAGCAAGCTTAACTTTATGCGTCAATATAACCCACACCGGGCGGGGGGGGGGGGGGGGGTGAAGGGGATGTCTGACCCACCCCCTTCCCTTAACTCTGCTCCTGGGTCACGTAGCGTAATGCTATATAAAAGGGCAATGGAAGATACCAGAGGTCATTTAAGGTCAAATTTTGCCTAGTTAAACATTTTTGACAAACCGGCGCTAAATCGGGAACTTTAACTCGGCAACCAATAGAGCTACAGCGCCGCGGAAAGGTCGTGACCTGGTGACCTGACCTTGTGCGACCTGAGCCTGGAATTTTCAGAAAATGTGGGGAAAAGATGCATGGACAGGTGTGCTAAAAACTCTTTTTAAACATTTTATATCTTTTAAACCCTTAACATAAAAAACCTTTTGTTATATCTGCGGACTGCGATACATCGCAGGGGGAAGGGAACGGGGGTATCCAATCCTTTAACCAATCCCCCAAAGTCCAATCCTTTGACTTTGGGGGTGTCCAAAGTGATAGAATGCATATTTGTGATCTTGGCAAGAAGTTTGTGCATGCCTTCATAGAGCAAGACATCGCGCTATAAGTAGCAGTCACAGTGTACCGGCCAACTAACCTGGGTGGTTCCAATGCAGTCGACGACATAGAGTCTTTTTTTTTTCACAATCAATTTATTGCATATTCAAAACACAGTATCCAGACATAAGACCAATCATCACATCATTACATCAACCTCACCACACCCCCACGCACCCCACAACTATCACACCACACGGGCACACCCCGCAGCCTCAACACCCCACTAAGGGCACCGTGCCGGTTCTGCTCGCCTGGCTAAGCCGGGGCGGCACATGCCTGTTATCGCCCCGGCCCCGGGGAGGCCGTAAGCCTCCCCGGTGCTCCAAACGGGCCGCTGGCCCCCGCCCGCGCCGCCTCGCGCCCTATGCTGCCATCTCGCGAGGCGACGCCCCTGCCCGCCGACCCGCCACGCGACCCGCCCACCAGTCGAGCCGGTTTGGCGGGGCGCGCGGCGGGCCGGCGGCCCAGCCTCCCGTCATATGATGGGAGGCTAGGCACGGGTTGGCCCGGATGGGTTAGGGGCGGGGGCTTTCGCCGCACATGGCGACACATGTCTTGTTTCCGAGGGTGTGCGTATATGTGTCTGTAATGTTATATATGTATTCTTGCATGACCGTTTATGTGTGGGCGTGCTGTGTGTGTGCATGTGTGTAAATGTTTATGATTGCGTAAGAGCGTACCTATGTGGTCCGAGCCGCCCCGCCCCCCATCCCATGCAAACCGTCCCACTTTAAGTGCCATTTCTCATGCGAACCATTCATAATGCCGACGTATTTTTCAATCATGTAATGGCTTTTTAGGGTGTTTTCGAAGCGCCTCGCCTCTGGCTCAGTATTGTCCATTCTGGCGAACCAGATGCACTGCATTGCTAGCATTGCAATGAGGCCTATAATTTTTCTTTCATCCGGGTCTAGAAACACATTGCTAATTTGTTGCGTTGAGACCGAAAAAGAATAGTTTTGTCTCAGAAGGGCTTGCACGGCTAAATGAAACGACTGCACCTTCTCGCAACTCCTGAACAAATGATCCAACGTTTCCTCAGCAGAGTCACAGAATGTGCACGTACTCGACACTACCAAACCAGCTCTCAACAAGAAAGTATTAGTTGGCAAAATACGATTGACAATCCTATAGTAAAAGGACTGTAGCCAAGAGGACTGACTAACCTGCTTGATTGCGATCAATGTCCCTCTCCGATACAGCTGGTTTTCACGCAGCCATTTCTCTTTTATTTTATCCCGGATGTCATCATTTTTTCTATTTAACTTTTCCAATAATCGTTGGCTTACCACTTGACTAAGCTTTTCTGAATGTAAAACTAAGTACGTCCTTGGCGGTATCGCTGGCAGGGGATTTTCATCTTTAGCATTTTCGATCATGTCAAGTACCGTCCTCATTTTTACCCTGATTGAGTTATACTCTATGAAATTTACGCGGACCTCAAACTTTCTCTCAATCTCCGTTTTTGACAGCAGGCTATTGCCTTTAAGCAAATCACTCACAAAAAATAGTCCTCTTGACTTCCAGTTCCTATTAGTTGAGCACTTAAACCTTAATATATCATTACACCAGATCATTTCACTTGCTACACTCTCCGGTTTGTGTTCATAGTTTTCTACAAATCTCGCCCATGCTTGTAAAACATCAACCCAAAATTTATTTTCGATTTTGTTTGCCAGACTTTTAAGCATTGATGCACCATACCAAGATAAGTTATCACTATGCTGCTTCAAACTAATTCTGCTTCCTATTGCCCACCTTCTGTCAACAGCACTATTGTCCTGCAGACGCTTTATCCAGGAACACTTCAGTGAGGCTACAAATATGTCAATGTCTATCATCTTTATTCCATCATTCTGATATGATTGACAAATTTTTGTCCTTCGTATCTTATCATTTTTTCCGTTCCACAAAAACTTGAACAACATGCTCTTTATTTTGTTCATGGTATCCACACGTGGGGTTGGAAGTGAACAAAATAAATGAACTAATTTTGATATGGCAAGAGTCTTGATTACTGTCACTCTACCTAAGAGAGAAAGATTCCGAATTCGCCAATAGTCTAATAATGCCTGCATGCTCTTAATTTTCTCCGGGAAGTTTAACTCTTCTACCTCATCTGGATCCGCACTAAAAATAATGCCCAAAACTTTTAGTTCCTTCACCCATGTGATGGGGAGACTCTCGCATACAGGTTTTTTTGGTGGCCCCAGCCACATGCATTTACATTTGTTGATATTAGGTTTCAAACCAGAGAACTTACTGTACTCTCCAAGTTGTTGCATCACTATACGTATATCGGGGTTCCTACCTTCCAAAAATATAATGGTGTCATCTGCGTACTGTGAAATTTTAGCTTCACATCTGCTTGGTAGCTTAATGCCTCTAAATGGCGTCTTTCTGAGGAAATTCGCTAGGATTTCTACCGCTAAAATAAATATCAAACCAGATGCAGGGTCACCTTGACGAAAGCCGCGACTATGCGTGATTTTTTCTCCTAGATATCCATTGAGGATAATCCTTGAATAGTTGTTTTTATTAGTGTACAACATCTCAAATAGGTCCATAAAATTATTTCCAAATCCCATTAATTCTAACACACATCTGGTATATTGCCAATTCAGAGAATTAAATGCGTCTTCGAAATCAATCGCCAGAACAGCTCCATCGAGTCCTTGGACACTAAAGTGATGAATAATGTCGTACAGTAACCTGGTATTTTCCCCAATAAACCTGCCTTTCAAATAAGCAGTCTGGTCGGGACTTACAAGTAACGTCGCAACAGACTTAAGACGTTCAGCGACCACACTTGAAATAATTTTATATTGAACGTTGAGCAAACTTATTGGGCGCCAGCCCTTAACCTTATCTCTCTGTCCGTTTGCTTTGGGGATAAGCGTGACTATTGCTTCACGCTGAGTCACAGACAGTGTCTTTGTATACAGGGCGTGCTGAAACGATCGCCACAAAAAACATTTTAGATCTGGGTAAAAGAACTTGAAAAAACCTGCAGTAAAGCCTGTTGAACCTGGAGAACGATCGTTCGACATTTTATATAATGCTCTCGAGAATTCCTCCTTCGTTATTGGTTTCTCCAGTGCGTCACTTTCTTTTGATGAAAGTTTACGTTCAATGTTACGAGCGACGAACTCCTTGATTTTCTTTTCCGACTGCACCCTATCCTCGTTCATTACGCCTCTAAAGTGTCGCGTAAGAAAGTCGAGAACATTGTTCTCACCAGATATTATCAGGTCATTTTCTCTCAAAACCGGTATAGATTTCAAAACCCAATTTCGTTTTTCTAAATTAAAGAAATATTTTGATGATTTTTCTCCCTTTTCGTGCCAATTACTACGAGATCTAATGATCATGCCATCAATTTTCGTATTCCTAATTCTCTCTAGTTCTTCTTTTGTCGCCTTCAGCTTCAGCTTCTCACTTTCTGAAATTCTTGGCAGTCTGCTTTCAATGTCCTTAATGCCTTCTTTTAGTTCTTTCTCTGTATTTCTCCTAGCCTTATTTTTAACTTTAGAGTAAAAGATAGTCTCACTTCGTATGTTTACTAGGAGTATATCTAGGAACAAGGCGTCATTAATCGTAAACTCGACATCTTCAGCATGTTCATGAATATAACTGTGTTCGTATACTGGAACGGCGTATTGTTGGATAGTGTTTGCTATCACTGATTTAACTTTTGTCACATATTCGTCGTTTTTCAATAGTGACATATTAAACTTCCATAGTCCATTTCCCCTTTTTTGTTGCAAACTGTCGCACTCTAAAGAGATAATAGCATGGTCTGATCTAAACGTATTTTCTATCAAGCACTTTTTTATCAGTGGCTCCATGCTGCGACTAACGATGAACATGTCGAGTCTGGCCATTTTATCTAAATTCGCATTAAACCATGTGTATTGCCTTCTTTCGTCATTCCTTTCGCGCCACACATCTATTAAGTCGTGTTCGGACATTATTTGTCGTAGGACATTTCGGGCGCTTCGATTGTGCTCTTGGCGATAGTTATAGGTATCTTTTACTTGATCCATAACTAGATTAAAATCGCCACAAACAACAATGTTACCCCCGTCTGTAAGTTGATCTCTTATTAACGTTTCGAGTGCCACGTAAAAACTTGGTTCATCATTGTTGGGACCGTAGATGTTAACAATTGTCAAATGCTGCCGTTCAAATTTTATTTTTACTGCCACAAAATTTCCTTGTTCATCTGCTTGTATGACCTCAACATTTGCATCAACCTCATCTTTGACCAGTATACATACGCAGACGACATAGAGTCGACGGGCTCTGTTGTGCAGCTGCCGCTCAGCCCGGTTTCTTCATTGCTTCGTGCCGGAGCCGGTTCATCCCTACAGCAACAAAACACAAAAGAAAAACATGGATCACAGAAGACAATATTCCATCATTAACGATTGAAGAGCGAGATAAATGTATGCTAACACACACAGCAAAATAATTGTTCTGGTGTTCACTTTGTCCTAGACCCTGTTCACGGCAGGATGCTTCTGTGTGCTACCGGTATTTGGTGCATTGGGTTTCTATGGAAATGGAGACATGAACAAACTCAGACACTCTCACATTGAGTAACGTCTTAACCCTCGCCCGTAAACGGCGATCTGCCACCTTCGCCCATGCAGGGGGGGGGGTTGGTGCGACCCCCCCCTTGGCGTTTGAAAACGGAGCGTCGTAGAGCTTAGCGGAAAAGACCAACGGATTGCTCTCGCCGAGATCTCGCGATTGGTGGTATATTTTTTGGTCCTAGGTCAACATTTGACCTACTTTTGACCGGTCAAAGGTCAAATTTTCGGAAAAATAGACTTTTTCAAATGTTCCGCGGCGATTGCGGCAAAACGGTGGGAGATATCGACTTGAAACCTTCACTATCGTGTTCCTTGATCAATTCTCTATCGTTTGGTATGTATTTCGTTTCCCTAGCTCTAAAAATGGCGCGTTGGGAGCGCCGGAAGTCGGCAAGGTCACAGTCGGCGGCAGAAATTCGAAAAATCAAAATTTAAATTTTTGAAATCTGATTGTATTTTTGGATTTGGGATGTCCATTTGCTCCCTATAGAAGCTAATATTGCTGCATATTTCCATTGAGGTGACAAGAATTAGCAAAATAGTGGTTCGGGCGCTTTTCAAAAATAGTACCGGACGCTGTTCCTCTTGTGACGTCATAGCTCCGTGACCTGACCTGACCCGGTCAAGTTTCTTATACCATATGATAGCCAATACTTGCCCCAACATGCATGGGAAGTTTCATCACGATCCATCAACCGATGTCCGTACCACCGGCAGGAAACCTCGGGCGTTGGCACTCAGTTTGTGAAAATCCGGCCGGAGGCTGTTCCCTTTGTGACGTCATAACTCCGTGACCTGACATGACCCGGTCAAATTTTTTTTATCAAAAGATGCGCAAGGTTTGCCCCATAAGGTACCCAAAATTTGGCGGCGCTGCGCGCCGCCGTTTTTGCACTATTTCCGAAAAACCTCAGGGGGGGGGGGTTGCACCAACCCCCCCCCTACATGGGCGAGGGTTAAGTTTTAAAGTTAAAGTTAACGCTATTAAAGAGCTAATAGCTAGGCCGGCCGCTCATACTCAGAAATTTACGTTATTCTACGTAAGACTTCGCTCGTTCCGCTCGCTCCGTAACCATAGCTATGACGTCGGCTCTGTAGCACTCAGTAGCGCCGTGCCGTAAAACAGGGCCGTAGACAAAAGTAACGTCGTTTCTGCAATTACTTCCAGTCCATTTAGGCACGCATCAAAATATCCTCATGAGCTACAGACCTTCTTATAAACTAGTCTAGTCTTTGGTATTAACCAAGCGCAATGGAATAATAGTGTTAACTAAAGGTAGGTATATGAAAAAAAAAACAATGCTATTCATCCCTCCTCCCACCACATACCTCGCAGTGAGAAATATGACGGGTGTGATGAAAGTGGAAATCCGGTAACACACTAGCACAATGCTACAATATGGCAATAACTTATAACATCATACAGGCATGCTCATTGCTCATGGCTGTCTTTAAAAGGCAAGAACAATTAAGGGCAAGACATCGCGCTATAAGTAGCAGTCACAGTGTACCGGCCAACTAACCTGGGTGGTTCCAATGCAGTCGACGACATAGAGTCGACGGGCTCTGTTGTGCAGCAGCTGCTCAGCCCGGTTTCTTCATTGCTTCGTGCCGGAGCCGGTTCATCCCTACAGCAACAAAACACAAAACACCAGCAGTGTGAAAAGGAATGTACCAGCTTGATGCGTAGTATATATAAGAAGTGCACCGTTCTGCGATCCGGGAGAGCACAGGAAAGTAGAGCAGGCAGCAGCACCTGAAGGACTGTCAACATTGCACAGCTTACTAACTAGAATGTCAGCATTCTTTCACTTTGTAAGCTAAGCAGCCGGGGCAACCACACAATGGCTATGAACCCATATACTTTTTCTTAGCATATCAGAGGGATGCAAAGATAATAAATTCTTATCTTTGCATCTCAGAGGAGTGCGAGATAGAAATATCCTTACACCGGATATTTCTAATAGATAATTCAAGTAATGGATATTTCTAATGGATATTCCCAATGGCAAATTAACCTCTACCAGAAAGATAGCATAACTAAAATAAAAATAGGAATCCACGACGCAGTGCAAATTAAGGTGAGCATTTTGCCGCAGAGAACAGCGATTACATTAACACTGTATCAGTACCAGCAGGTAACGTTGCATTCACAAATCCTGAACTTCTAATCAGCGATTGAGCAGCAGAAAAGAATGCAAATGAACACATCGCACTTATATCGCAATTGTTATCGCAAGACCAAAATAATAGTTGCGCATTATGATCTTACCTCATTAACAGAACGGAGCCTGCCACAGGATTTTCGAACTCGATCAGCGGACCCGCCAGCTTCGGTAGAGCTGACGGCATAGCCGTCCTCACCCTGGGGCGCTCCTGGTTGATGGGATCGCCGTCCATCAGGAGGATCCACTCCCCCCATGCTTGGTCAAAGATCTCCAGTTGTACCTCCTGGCGACGCATATCCGTGCTTGACTTAGTATGCATATTGATATACATCGATCAGCATGCATGGTAGGCACTGGATGAAGATGATCTTTTTTTTACCGCGAAGACCTTAAATATTTAAACGTGTCATATACTGACGACCAGCACAATCCAAGGAAATAGTGCTCTGCTTATTCAGCAATATGCATAAATGCATGCATGTATATAGTATGCCGTACGTAAGGATGAATATTTTTACGTCACCTCAACAGCTGCTAGAAATGCTTATAGGTATCTGAAACCGGAAACAAATTGCAATCTTAGTAAGCTATCGCCAACGAATAAGAGCTTCAAACCTGTGTCATTGCGAAGAATGTCGTTACACTTCTTCGCAGGTCACCAACGTTGAGGCAGTCAAATACACGCGCAAGATCACCGTGCGTCACAAACACTCTCATTTTTTGAAGGTTGGCTGAGCTGAAACATCATGGTACCATAAATAAGATTATACAATTTGCATGCCACGAGTACATAAAAGTTGGTGCATTGCCGTTCATCGACTCAACAATCTTACAATTAATATGCAGTGCCACCAACCTACACTGAATTACTTCAGGGCAGCTTCTGAGTTCAATGCAAGGCCATCGGCTTGATGAAAAACAATAGTTCTGACTGACAGGCTTGGACACCGTACGTTCTGAGCGTCATGATGATTTCGATTATTTGTTACATCCAAATAAGCGGTCACTGATGTTCATGAAAATCTTTTTTTTCTTATTGTGAAGGAATGTTGAGCTTCTTGTCTTTGGCGGGCTATTGTTCAGAGACAATGAGAACTACGGCGCAGACATTTCCACAATCCACATGTCGGACCAGGGCAACCATTTGGTGTATTTACTTTGGGGGATGGGCGCGGAGGGAGGGTGCAATCACCGAGGTGCACGTCAGAGGCGCATGCCGATTGCTTATAGCAGCATACGCTCTCAGCTTGGTTCTTCGCCTAAAAAGTACTGAGTGTTTTGGGCGAGGAACTAGTTCGTGGTCAACGAATTCAAGTTTTAGAGACCCGAAAATCGGTATTATTTATGAATAGGTATTGAAAACGAATTAGATCAGAAAGTCGAGAATTTGAATAACAAGCGATAAACCACTAGCAGCCGGCAAATATTTCATGTTGCGAGATTCAACTGAGATAGCAAATTCGATTCTCGAATCGAATCGCGAATTCAATACTTTGATCGAATATTAATGTAATTACATTTATTAATTGCCCGAAACCCTTCCACGGTGACTAGCGAGTCCACGCCCAAAAAGCGAAACACATACCTAACATGCTCACCTTGAGGTCATCGCTGTCCCGGTCAGCTATCCACATATGGGGTCAAAGCTTGGTATCGCATGGTGCAGAGGTACATACTTTTGACCATTGATGGCATAAAGAGGCAGCGGGTAGGCATCCGCTAGCCAGCTTGCAGGTGCCTTCATCGCTTCTTCTGCAAGTACAAGATAGGCCTGGTAATGGCCATCTAGCATCTTTGCACTCAGATGCTCTCCAATGAGAGAGACTGTGTCATTTTCATCAATCCAGAAGTATTTCACTAGGATGAGTTTGTGTCCACCTTTGCCAGATGGGTTCTTGAGTATCAGCACATCTTCTGAAGTGTATTTACAGCCATTGATATGCACCATCTCTGTGTAGACACCACCCGTCGGTAGGTGGAAGCCACTGGGCAGCATGGCAGATACATCGTGCGCTTTACGCACTCTTCCCGTTTTTCTCACGGTCACATCCTTGCAAGTTCCCACGGTCATCTTCTCTTGATGACGTACGGCAAGAGTTTTGCAGACATTTTTTCGATTGTGTGCACGAGTAGCCATAGTTTTGAACTCCTGATGCTTGGCCTCGAATCGCATAGTCCATGCCCTGCGCAGTGGCCCAATTTTTTCAATCCAGTGCTTGTAGTGAAGGAGAAAATGAAATTTTGGTGTTAGCCTGAAATCCGGAAACAAGCTCCGGAAGTCCTTCAGCCACTGCTCAGTCATTGGCTGAAGCATTTCAATCATATCGGGTGACAGATCATATGCACATATCAGCTGCACTAGGATAATCAAGTCCATAAGCAGCTTCCATGCCTCCAGGTCACGAGGCACATGAGGTCCCAACAGGAAAGGCATAATCCTCAGTAGAGTCCAACACTGACTAAACGTTCCCTTCACTGACACACGGCGCCCCTTTGCCATGGGAGCTGGTGGCTTGTTCACGCCATCCATTCTTGCATATCTGAAGGTTTTCATCATAACTTGAAAGCTGGCCATGGAGAATAGCTTCAGCTGGAAAATCAGAAGAGAGAGCACAAGGCCCAGTGTGTGATTGACCACACCTCCCTCAAACAGGTCGTGAGCGATGTCAGGTGGGAATTTGTCCACGACATTGAACCCTTTTAGTTCATCGAACACGCACCTCCCTTTCAGTCCAGTTTCCCGCTGTGCATCTAGATCTCCATCATCGCCAAGTCTTTCCAGCTCTGCTTTGTAACCCTCAGTTGTGCGGAGAGTGAGCTCTTCTTCAGTCAACTTCACGCCGAATTCATCATTTGTTGCGTAACATGTTCTGCAAGGCCTCGACCCGGATGAAAAAGACTCCTGGTACCCAGCCAGTTTGTGCAGCCCCAGAGAGTCTCCACACACAAACTCAAGACTAACTTCGAAGTGGTCACTACCAACTAGGAGTCCTCTATTCAGAAGGTCATCCAAAGCCCGGGTAACAGGTTTCATTACCATTTGCATCCCGCGCGACTTCAGCAAGGAACATGGGCACAGCAGGAGCAAGTATATGTCGCAGAGGGTTGAATGGCTCTTGTCATTGTCAATGGTGAAATAGACAGCCCCAAGACTGTAGCTCGCCGACTTCTTGCGGAGAGGGTTACATGTGCCAAATTCGTCGAAGTACAGGATCAGCTTTATTGTTTTGTCACGCTGGCATGCTGGCAGCTTGCCAGCCTTGATTAGCTGCTGTAGTTGGCTGTGGAGGTTCACATACTGGTAAGTTGCTGATGCTTCGCCAATTCCAGAGCTCAATGTTATTGTTGTTGGGGGCACATACTCACTTTTGTCATGGCAGTACTTTGCCAATTTGTAGTCACTTGAAAACTCCTGACATGCATCTTGAGCTGTAGACGATGGCTTGCCACTGGCGATTCTCTCTTGGACAGCTTGCTCTATGATTTCCCCAAGTTCTTCAGCTACAGATGAAGTTGCCGCCTTTGAAAGCCCATGCTGACATTGCAGCTGCAGAAGAAAATCTCCGATCCTTGCCCTGCAGTCCTTACCAGATTCAGATTCTTTGTCAAGGCAGCCTTCCAACATTCCATCTGGATAGTTGGAGGCGAGGCCGATATCTTCCTCAACTTCATCATGCTTGTCATTGAGTGCTTCACATTTTGACTGCTTGTGCTTTGCATGAACTGTAGTATAATGCTTAAGCCAATATCTACCTCTCCTAAAGCACCTTGTGCAGTCTGGACAATATACCAATTCACAGTCATCTGATGCATCATTCAGATGCCGCTGTAAATGCTTTGCAAACTTTTCAGGAGCTTCTGTCTTATATTTACAGGATGGAACTGTGCAGTTCAGAAAAGAAGAGCTTTGAGCCTGCAAAGAGAGGATGTTAACCCGCGCCCGGCTGGGGGTCCTGGATTTCCACGCCCTGCTAGGGGGGGGGGTGTTTGAACACCCCCCTTCTAACTCGGCTCCTGGGCCACGTAGCGATACGCAGAAGGCGGCGTTCGAAAGAGCGCCAAAAATAATGACGAAATCACTTCGGTCACTTTTTTGGTCAGGTCAAAGGTCAGGTCACCAGAGGTCATTGAAGGCAAAATTTCGCCGATTTCCAGGTCCAATGTCGACAATTTCCAAGAAGCCAACGCATAACTCGGGAACCAATAGAGCTACAGCGCCGCGGAAAAGCGCATTCGATAGCCCTATTGACGCCCTTTCTGAGTAATTACCTCAGATTTGACCTAACGTCAACGGTTTTGCCTACAGGGGGCAAAAACTGCAAAAATAGCCTATTTTTTTCGGAAACAGTTTTTCTGCAATAACTTTTGACCCAAGCCTTGTACGAGCTTACTTTTACCGGCATCGTGTTTCTCTCGTCAAGACGCATCGAATGAACTATAACTTGACCTTGAAAGGTCAACTTGAAAATTTGACCTCAGGTCAAGGTCATGACCTGACCGGAAAGGGTCATGTTGCATATCAGTCGATCCGTATCGTCGAGCTGAACAAATCTAAGGCGTTTTTATCACTCTAGCATGCCTCTATCAAAAGTTATTTGCGAAAAACTGTTAGATACCATTCGTGACCTGAGATGACCTCAGGGGCATAAACAGGGGTCACGGACACCATTTTCATGTTCAGTGTGTCTATACCACTTGTAATTCAGTGTTTGGGAGTGTTTATAATGTCTTTCTTCCAAAAGAGGCGCATTTCAACTTTCTCCCATTGACTTATAATGGGTAGATCGCAAAATTGACCTGACCTTAGGTCATCGATATCAAAATTCTGAGACATACATTTTGTACATGTTGTTGCTCTTAGCAATCGCTGAAAGTTTCAAAGCGATCGGTCACTCGGTGTAGCTATGGCAGACATTGAAACTTCTTATGTGGTGAGGTCACTTCAAGTGACCTGGTGACCTGACCTTGAATGACCTTGGTCTGAAATTTTCACAACATGTGTAGAATTGATGTATGATAAGGTGTACCAAAAACGGTGGCGCTCCGCGCCGCCGTTGGAGCGCCGCCGTTTTTGAGATATTCGCGAAAAACCACAGAGGGGTGGGGGTGGGTGTTCAAACACCCCCCCCCCCCCCCCCAGCAGGGCGCGGGCTAAGGGTTATCTGGAATGGAAAGGACCAAACTGTAGTTGTATGGTGCTCATTTCCCATATCAAGTTTTCTTCTTTTTGGTGTCACTCTTGGATCAAGCAGGTCTCTGAGTCTGGACCGTCAGCATGTTATGTAAGGCCATAGACAGATGAAAGCTTATTGTGCTCTCATCAAAGTAAGACATAATTATGAACAATAGATAATTTAGAAGATCATGAGATGCTATTGCAGCCAGGGTTGTGCTTGACTCATGAGTCGAGTCAGAAATTTGACTCAACTCTGACTCAAATGAGTCAGATTTGAGTCGAGTCGGATAAAATGCTGAGCTGTTGAGTTGAGTCAGAGTTGAGTCGGACAAAAATATTAAGGCGTTGAGTTGAGTCAGAGTTGAGTCAGTAAAATAACTTTTGACATTGAGTTGAGTCAAAAACATTTAGGAACATGAGTCAGCTGACTCATCTTTCTAGAAACAATCTACATAAGCTTTTCATTCTCCCCCTGCTTAACAACTTAGGCCTGGCCCTGCTGCAGGATTTTTTTCACCCCCACTCCCCGCTCAACAACTTTTTTATCTGAGTCAATTTTG